TCTATTGAACAAAGCCTGGGACTTGTTGTTTCGAGAATTCAGGAGATGAAAATTCCAAATTTATTTTATTTTATTTTCTCTTTCGCATAAACAGAATGATGGCAAGTGAAAATATAGGCAACGCGAGCAATAATAATACACTTTCAGTATTTATGGACCATGTCAAACAAGTTCTTTCTACTATACCTCCAGCTACAAAATTCGCACTCTATGCACCTTTTGTGATTGGAATTACAGACAACTTTCTGTTTCCCACCTTGAATGTTCATTGGTCTACTTCAGCTTGGTTTTCTTTAGACTATGAACAAGGGCTTTTAAAGCTTCAAGGTAAAAGTCTAGACTGAATTCTTGCCTGTATTCAATCATGTCCTAGTGTTTCGTTTTCTTTTATATCCTTTCGCGACCATGTCTGTTTTAGATGCATTTATTACCGCTCTATGGCTTATTCCAGAAATGTACAAATTAGAAAGAAAACAAGGCACACTTAAATTCATATGGATTTTGATGTCTGTGTTCACCGTTTTGCCTGGCCTATTGGCTGTCATTATCAATAAGGCACTTTATACTGTCTGGTCTCAAATGTTTTATAATCCAAGCTGCCATGGAATGACAGGATGGGTAGTAGGATTGATCTTTTGGTCTTATTTGTCAGAGGATGCAAATGAACAAGATAGAATGTGAGTTAATCTTTAAGCTAAAGAATGACTTATATGTGTATAGGATTGCTGGTGCTATTCGTATACCACATCAATATTGGCCTGCTCTTGTGTTCTTCTTTTTCGTCTTTCTTGTTCCCAGTAGTTCGATTGTTTTAAATATTTTGTGTGCTGTTGCTGGCTATTTATGCAAGTATAAACATAGACATATCTATATGTGTGTATTCATCTCTTGATAGATGTCAAAGACAAATTGAAGCCTTTTCTTCTTTCAGATGAAAAACTGGTGGAATTAGAAGGAAAGCCTATCCTACGCTTCCTTACACAAACTACGAATTTTGTATCTGTGGATTCAGCTGGCCATGCTTATTTGCCCATCTTTAATTCTACCCAAGAAGAACCAGTCTCAACACCAAACGCCCCTTTTCAAGGCCAAGGACATCGCTTAGGTCCTTAAGAAATAAACACTCTAATTCCTTTTATTATGCTAATCCAGCAGCATCTGCTTCCTGTCTTTGAGCATCTAATTTAACAGCTTCAGGATCCCATTTGACAGCCACTTGAGTCAAGATATCCATCAAGTCTTCTTGTGCTTCTAAGGCGGCCAATTCGTCCTCGGTCTTACACAACATCAGACCAGCAAAACCCAATGAATTGATTGAAAATTCAAAGGTCTTGCCTTCATTTTTAATGCTCGCCTTTTCTTTTGACCGAGGCACCAACATCATAAACTCTTGTGTCATCAAGAAATTGTAAGAGGTGTCAAGAGGAAGTGAGTTTTCACGCAATTGCTGAAACATGGCATCCAAGATACCAAAGAACATTTGTCCTAAATAATCAGACAATGTTTCCTTGTTGTTTGAACGCATCACATTGCTATCCAAGGCCATAATGACATGAACAAAAGGAAGCTTGTTGATAGCATAGATTTGGCCAATATGGCGATCATGGATTTCGTCGTACAATTGCTTGATAGGAGGTTGAGGGTGATGATCGTTGCCTAAAGGAAGGACTTGGATGTGTTTATGATCTTGACTTGCGCCTGATTGGTCGCCACAGTTAAAGAAAGCAAGTGCTTGTTGAGAAGTACCAAAGCTTTGAAGAGCACAATACGTCTCGTACAAATCTTGAGGGAAAAGAGGTTCATTTTGTTTTCTGAATTCTATAGTAATGTAAGCCTGTCTGTCTGTGCTACATGACACAACTTGCCTTTGGTTACAATAAGCA